TCATCATGTTTGTAATTGATCTACCTTTCGTCGTGACCGATTCATGCTTCTTTTCGTTCGCTGATGATACCAAAATTTCAAAATGTATAAAATCAGAAGATGACTGTATTCATCTTCAAAGGGATTTGGATCGTGTAGCAGATTACTATGGACGTAATTTATCAAAGTTAAATGTTAACAAAACAAAACTGATATCATATCATCGAGGATTGCTGTAATATGAATATAATTACAACGTAGATGGCGTGCAAATTGAAAGAATTGAAGTATTGAAGGACTTGGGAGTATTGCTTGATGTGAAGATGAATTTCAAATCACACATCGAGCATGTTGTTGCTAAGGCAAAATCAAGATTGGCTTGGTTAAAATTCAACAGCAGGGATTTTGTCGACCCATGGACGTTAAAACGCCTTTACTTTACATTTATATTACCGATTATTGAGTATGGATCTGAAATATGGAATCCACACTACGACAATATGTGCAAAAGAATAAAGTCAATACAAAAAAGTGTGCACTTAGGAGAATGGCCTGGAACGATTTTAGACTGCCAAAATACGAACATAGACTACTATTTCCGCAAATGATTACTCTTGAGGAGAGACGCAAGATGGCGCAAGTGTCTTTTATTTTCAAAATTATTCACGGAGATTTAAAGTCAACTTATGTTTCAAATGAAATATTATGATTCAGCACATGATACCAGAGCAACACCACTATTTGATTTACCAATTAGGAGAACTGATTACACAAAATATGAGCCATTGAATTATATGCTTACGTCATTCAACGATTTTTATACCAAAAAAATGCCAAACAGTGATGAAAATATAATTGATTTAGAAGTTAATTTATCAACGATCAAACTGAGAATAGAAAATTATTTAAAGCAAAACAGATAAATACAAAAATTTGTTATGGATTATAGAAATTTTAAGCAGTTGAAAAATTAATTTATGAAATTTATATTATTTACATGAGAGGAGCTATAATTTTTCATTTTTTCTCTCAAAAATGCTTGATAAAAATCAAATTGTATTATATTATATTTATTTAATGAAATTATTTTCAATAAACCACCAAGGCGAAGAAACGCTGTTCGGTGCAGTTATTATTATTAAATGCAACATTCCTTTGTTCGTAAAACATTAGACGAAATGTACCATATAAAACGAAATTTTTCTTTATTGTTACACTTTTAATGTGGTATACCATAACAATTTTATATGATTTTGAGAGTTTTATAAACGCAAACTATTTTTGAAATCTCAGCTCATAATAATTGTTTTGAATTTGGAAAATTGTTTTGAAAAAGTGTAGCTCAAATCAATTAAATTTTGTTAAAAGCAGCAACATCAACACTTTGTACGTATTCGTCGTTCTTTTCAATCTCTTCTGTGAGCCAATCGATGGAAACCTTTTCGTCTTCTACAACACATGAAATAGTCAATTTATGAATTCCAAATGCCAATGGAACCAAACGTGCTGTTCCCTGGGGTGAATCAGAAAAGATGAAAGTTAAAGATGGCAATTAATCAACATATAATGGAACATAATTAAAATATAATCGAAAAAATGGATGTTTACCCAAAGTAGACCATCACATTCAATTTTGCGAACGCATTGTTCCATCAATTTCATGTCGGTTTCATCGTCCCATGGCTTGACATCTAAAATGACATTCGATTTAGCTATCAATGCTGGTTTTTTTGATTTCTTGGCAGCATATTCAGCCAAACGTTGTTCACGAATCTTTGCAATGGCATCGTCTTCTTCTTCTGAATCTGAATCTGAACCAATCAACAACGAATTAGATTTACCATAGGGCACGTTTTTCAAAATAGACTATTTGTTGAATTAATTTCATGAACTACATTTACCAAAGAGATCAACATCATCTTCATTGGGTACGGTGGCAGCGGCTACTGCTGGCTTTGGAGCATCACCAATACTAACGCCAGCCAAACTTTGCTCCAAAGATTTGATGCGGTTTTCAGATTGCAATTGTAATTTTTTCAATTCATTCACTACTTGATAAAGAGATGCATTTTCCCGTTCCAAAGCTGAAATACCTGGGGTTGAAATTAATCAATAATAATATATATGAAAATTCAATTGCAAAAAAAAAGTGAATTCATATATTTATATATAATTCAAGAACAAGGCATACGGTCAAGAACATCTTTTCCTGCTAATGCGGCGATGTCATCCATCTGAAAAAAAATTGGAAAAGAACATAATTCAATTAGTATCGCCATGCATTTGTTATATGAAACGATTTTTTGTCGACTTGAGATATTTCTACAGATAATATTTTTTTTCCGTTTTCAAAATGTGCGTTTTGGTACTTTTGTGTTAGAGTGTTTTTTGACGGAAAATATACTTACGCGTTCTAAAGAATTCTTTAGATGTTGACGCGCTTTTGCGATTTCGGAAACAAGTGTACATTCTTCGGAAACGCCACCAGAAACGTGTACCTGAACCAAAGTTAGTAGTTTTTACAAAAATGACATATATTTTTTTATAAATTTCAGAATAAATGTAATTAATTGAAAAACAAAATGTCACCAAGAGCCTTAAACTGGTTGTACAAAAGCAATTTTAAATATTTACAAAATTAATGGAGGGAGAGCAAAAAATTGGAAATAGAAAAAGGAATACGTGAAATCTATTTATCTATAAAGAAACGAAAATCTATTGATAATGTTTAAATATAAAAGCAAAATCGAGCAATTTTAAAGTTATAAATCAAAATCTCAAAATAAAAAGATGAAAATTTTATTTTGCGTTAATTTAAACCTTAAAGCTCTCATTGCATTGGACATCTTTGCTGAGATCATGTTTTGAACTGAATTTTTCTTTAGTTGCTTTTACAATTTCCGACTTTGGTTTGGGCTGGTCTAGTTTTCCAGAGAGTCTCGATTTATCATCTGATATTGATGACACATTGCTTTTATTACTGTCTTCTTGCTGCTTCTTTGCAGACTTTTTGTCCTTTTTAGCTTTTTGTGTTTTTGCCTTTGCATTATGCTTTGACTCATCAATAGGATTTTCCTCATTTGTAGTCGTCGCATTTTGCTTTTCAATTTGCTGTTCAATTGAATCGGATAGTTTTGAAGCGACAGTTGATTTTTTGCCTCTTTTATTGTATTTCTTTGCATTTTCTGAGATTAGTTTTTGTGTAGTTCTATTTTTATCATTTTGCAGCTTGCAAATTTATACAAATTAAAAAATTAAAATTAATATTCGTCATTTAAAATTTGTGTATGTATTATGAGAAATATAGTGAAAATAGAAGAAATAAACCATTTCATTGCCAGAAACGTTGAACTATGCTTTTTCTATATAGAAGTTATGTTTATTTTATATCTGTATATTTATGTCAGAAATCAAAATGGAACTTAGATAAAATTATAGCTGGTTATCAAGCGACGAGAATTTCTGTATAATATTATTATACCTGTTCATTTGATGCAGTAGATGGACACTAAGAATCCAACACCAAAATAATTTCTGAACAGGTTATTAAATTTGGACATAATTAATTGAAAGAAAAGACGGTAATTCAAATGAGTGCATTAGGCTCTGCCGCCTCTCTTGAAGTAGGCTTACCTTGGTATGGAATTTTCGTTCAGCGTCAGCGTATTGAGCTTTGCTTGTCCAAATTGATTGAGCTTGAAAGGTTTCAGCAAGTGGGCAGGGCATTTTGTTGTTACTTCTATTTAACCTTTAAACAAACAAAAATAAATGGAATGTGTTTTTAAATTAAAGAAACGTGCTATGGCACGCCATCAAAGAACAATCTATTACGCAAAATATTTTCTACTTGTTAGTTCCATAACAACATTTTCAAATAATTGTTTTTTACACAATTTGTTGTCATCAAATTTGATAAATATAATTTTTTGGAAATTTTAAAACTTACGTTTCTAGCTAGAGAATCCGAAAAGCACACTTCCAAGCAAAATGTCAAAATGGTGAGAGATCGATTAATCGCGCCGGGCTCACACAATGGCAATACACTCGATGGTAACACTTTTTTTTATGGTAACACCAGGTTCGAATGAAATTATTTTTTCTTTTTATAATATTTTTTTTCTTCATTATATTGCATTAAATAAATAAATTTTGTTATCTCCAAATGATAAACAACTCGATTTGTTTTTTTTTTATGTTAAAACGAAGAAACGAACAAATTCTTCTAGAACGAGTAACGCACACATTGATTTCAAAAAAATGCAAAAATTCTAGATGGCATTGAATGGTCAACAAAATGACAGGTTGAGCAATAGAAGAGATATACGTATAAACTCATATTTATCATAAAATACTAGACGATGTGGTGCACCATTTTTTGTCTTGACCGATTTTCAGGTTTTTTTCTTCGACCGATTTCTTCGAAATAAAAATTATTAAAAAAAACGAAAATTGAACGCTGGAGAGCGTTTTTCCAAATACTTGAAAAAACCAAATAATATAAGATCGAAAATCGTTAAATTTGAAACACCATCGAACGGAAAAGTTGTGTCATTTTCGAATCAATCTTAACATTTATTTTGCTGTTATTATTTTCTTCGATTTTAAGAAGAAGAATGACGCGTAAGTTCATCCACCTACTCAAATCGTGCTTTTATTTATAGTCTATAAACATTTTTTTTTCATTAAAAACCATGGTTTTTCATGGACAAAAACTCGTATTCTTGTAATTCGTAGTCTTGCAAATAAATTCTTGCAATGTATTTACTTTTGTTTGGATTTTAGGTGGTAACCAAAGAGATTTAGCCCGTGCAAAAGCCCAAAAGAAACAAGCGGACGCAAAAAAGGGAGTTCGTAATGATGGTTTGACTGTTGAACAACGTAAACAAAGGTTTGTTATAAAATTGATGATATCAATCAATCGCAACTGGTTCTTTTTATCAATTGTAGGGATGCTGAAATTCTTCGCGAAAAACAACGAAAAAAAGAGGAAGCAGCAAGCGCTAACAATGCCGGAAAGTAATAACAAATCAATTCATACCCATCGAATTCATGTCAAATCAAATTGTTATTTAAATTTATCGTAAACATGCGCATAAATAAACGAATAAAAACAAAAAGCAATAAATTAAAGAGTTATTCGATAATTAAGTGCTGAAACGTAAGGTTAAACCTACATTATATGCTGCATTATCAACCAAATATTGTTGAAATCGATAGAGTTCGTTGAGAACTATCGGATTAAAGACAAAATTGTGCTTTGCAAGCAGAAAAATCCACAATAATGGCTCACTTCTTAAAAAATTGCATTTTCATGAAAAAAGGTCCATTTTTTTAACTTCTCAAAAAGACACCAAAGTAAATAATTCTCGTGTTTTTTCGGATGTATGATATAGGCGAAGGTCCAAAATACTTGAAACGTGCAACAATTAGATGAATGGATTGAGAGAAAGTTGACAGTAAAAATATGTTGTCCAGAACATAGTTTTGAAGGTTCGACGCATACTGAGAAAAATCGAAGACAATGGTCCGTTCAGTGTACTGTAAATGTGTTTTCGGATTGCCTATGAATAAAGCTAACTACCACTGGAAGAAATTTTCAAAATGCTTCTTTGGTATTCAAATTGCGTTCACTTGATAATAGACAGTAGCTATCCTATATGGTTTTTATTTCGAACTTTACTTAAGAGGGTTAATATTGTCTTCGTAATTTGGAATCCTGCTCAAGGAATTGTATGCATAAGAGAAAATTCAAACGGAAATGTATACCATTTCAAATAAAAATGAAAATTTTATTCAATCATATTAACAGGGGAGCGACGTGAAACGTACGATTAAAAACTTGTCATCAGAGCCAGTCCCTCTTAACTAAAAATGGTACAAACTCTCAATAGATGGCGCTTATAAATCGACAAACACACTTACATTTTATCAGAAGAAAAATGAAAAATATTGAAATATTTTCAAAATATTTAATTTAATGATTTTAATTTAAATAAATTTAAATGGAGTGCCTTCTAGTATTATAGAAAATATCAAATGTGATATTTGTTGTTTCGAAATGTTAAATTTTTTTGTATTGGTTTATTTTCAAAATGCACAGAAGTTTTCAAGATGAAATTAGTTATATTTATAATTTTATAAAATATTTTAAAGGACTCAATTTATTTTATCATATATGATATTTCATTATGCTATACTGACTGTCGACAAGATACACACGCAACGGTGTTGACTATAGTGCAGATCATGTATATCGTATAGTGTACACTACAATCGACACTGTTGTGCATCATGCGCAGTATAGCTTGACAGACAACATAAAACATGTGCACAATGGCACACTGAGATATCATATATGATAAAATAAATTGAGTGCATAAAATATTTTATAAAATTATACATCTGAACAAATCTATTCCCGAAAAATACCACATTTTCAACATATCGAAACAACAAATATCACATTTGATATTTTCTATAATTCATTAAAAACCATTGAAAACAAAAGAAGCAATAGAATCACATCTTTTAACTTGAATTAAATTGAAACCCTCAAATTAACTAATTTAAAAATATTTCAATATTTTTCATTTTTCTTCTAATAAAATGTAAGCGTGTTTATAAATCGACTTATAAGTTTTTTCACGTCGCTCCCATAAATATTAGTTGACAACGATTTTTAAATTATTGTTGTTGTAACAATCACAATCACAACCAAGCGCACACAATAACCAGACACACACACAAAACTCAAGACCTGAAACACAGCCAAATGTAAATTATCGGCAACAAAATAGGCAAGGACATCTTCAAAGAAATGACCAGCGTCTACATGCGGACAAAACATTTGTCATCAATAGGCAATATGAGAATCGTGGTGAACGTTTGAGTTACAGGCAGGGGCAGACGTCGCATACAGATAGTTGTGTTTGTCGGAAATGTTTCGAGGATCATGAACGAAGATATGAAAATTTTCGTCGTTTTCGGACTGGAATTCGGGCCAGAGATGGCAGCACCGGCGTCATTTCTAAAACACAATTCTGAAGTATCTGCTGATTTTTCTTCGTGGGATTTGAGGTGTGGTCACTCAGGTAATTTAAATAATTACAGTATATGTTCTCCACAAGAGAATACGAGTACTACACACAAAATTAATGAAGGAAAATTTAAAATGCAGATGACAATCCATTCACAAAATATAAATGGATTGAGGACAAAGATGCCAGAATTTGCATCCGAAATTCTTATTGATCAGACGCTAATTTGCATGCTACGCGAAACTCATTTAAATGAGATAATCAACTCTGCCGACGTTTTTCCACCTTAGTACGAGGTCTATCGATGTGATCGTTCAGCAGCCACTGAAAAGGACCAAGTACATCAGAGGGAGCACGGAGGTGGAGTTTTGATCGCAGTAAACAACAAACTGAAATCGGTCTGCATCGGAACGGGAGACCATTTTGGTGCGGAACAAATTTGGGTGAAGATCTCCGGTGGAACATCTTTTTGGTTGAATTGTATATCCGACCAGATTCAGTTCTCAAGGTGTATGAAAACAACATGTACGCCTTGAAAGAAATGGCATCGAAGTTGAGTACAAATGATGCCTTGTTAGTTATTTGCCCAAATTGATTTGGTTTGTTGATGAAGATGAGGACCCGGACATAGCAATTGCTATCAATGCGGCCAGTGAAAAAGAGAAGATTGTGCTGGATACTTGTTATGAACTGGGTCTTCACCAGATTAACAAGAACTACAACCAAAATGGTAGGATGCTTGACTTGATCTGGACGAACGATGTTGGGCAGTTTCAATGTTATCAGAGTGATTTTCATTTGTTGAATTTCGAGAAACACCACAATGCTATCAAAATCAAACATAATGAGCCAGTCATCAAAAATACTGAAACTAAGCAAACGTATCGTGACTTCATCAATGCTGACTATAAACAAATAAATGAGTCACTCCTTGAAATAGACTGGCACGAAATTTTCAAAACAAATTCTTTAGAATTGAGACTAAACAGTTTCTATGCAATTGTAAGATCAACAATAGAAACTCATGTGCAGTTGAAAACAAGGATCAAGAGTATGCATCTAGGGTGGTTCAACAAGCCATTAATCGAGATGAAAAACAAAGTCAGCAAAGAACATCGAAATAAAAACAAATACGACACAATCATTGATTCGAGAACATTTCAAAGAATTACGGAGACGATATAAACAATGCGCGCGCTCTGCTCTCAAAGATTATCGAATTGAAATGGAGAACCTGATAGAAGAAGATCCAAAAAAATTCTTTAAACATGTAAATTTTAAGAAGGGGAAAAGTGATGATTTGCCGCATGAAATGACTTATTTAGGAGTGAAGGCGAATGAACAGTCAACAATCGCTGGTTTTTTTGCAAAGCACTTTGCCGCCGCTTACAGCTCTTTGGAGGGAGATTTTCAATATGACAGCTCAGAAATCAATAATATACATGATATTTGTGCTGAAATATCAACGATTGGTATAACCGAGGAGCTAGTGGGACAACAAATAAGCATGCTCCCAGATGATCTAGTCAGTGGTCCAGATGAAATTCCAAACAAGTTTATAAAACATTGTTTGATATCATTGCAAGGACCAATCACAACACTATTAAGGGAATCACTTGAAACTGGCTCAGTGCCACAGATATGGAAAACGTCGTTCGTCAGACCTGTTAAAAAAACGGAGACAGAAACAACGTTGAAAATTATCGTGGTGTAGCTCTACAGTGTATTGTGTCAAAAATTCTGGATTCAATCATCACAAATCATATCAATCAACAACTAAAGAACATAGTCCACGAAAGTCAACATGGATTCATCAAAAATAGGTCAACGATAACGAACTTAGCGGAATTTACCTCGAATACAATTATCAACATGGGGAAGGGACATCAAACGGACACCATATATTTGGACATCGCAAAGGCTTTTGATTCAGTGAACATAAAATTACTAATTCAAAAGCTTAAAATCATGGGATTGAATAGACAGCTGTTAAAATGGATCGAATCGTATTTGTCTGGTCGCAGACAAATAGTCAAGATATCGGATACCAAATCAGACCCTATCGAAGTAACTTCTGGTACGGGCCAAGGTTATCCCATTGGCGCAACTTTGTTCTTCATGTTTGTTATTGATTTACCTTTCGTCGTGGCCAATTCATGCATCCTTTCATTTGCTGATGATACAAAACTTTCAAAATGTATCAACACTGAAGAAGACTCCTTCAAAAAGACTTGGATCTGGTAGCATGTTACTATAGTCGTAATTTATTAAAATTAAATGTCAACAAAACAAAAGTGATTTCATACCATCGTGGCTCACTGCATTTTGAAAATAATTACAACATTAACGGCGTACAAATTGAAAGAGTCAATATAATAAAAGATTTAGGAGTGTTGCTTGATGTGAAGATGAATTTCAAATCACACATTGAGTATGTAGCTTCTAAAGCAAAGTCAAGGCTGGCCTGGTTGAAATTCTACAGCAGGGATTTTGTTGACCCTTGGACTATAAAGCGACTTTACTTTACGTTTGTATTACCGATCATCGAATATGGAGCAGAAATATGGAATACGCACTACAAAAATATGTGCATGAGAATAGAGTCAATACAAAAACAATTTTTACTATATGCACTGAGAAGTATGTTCTGGAACAGTTTTAGACTGCCGAAGTATGAACATAGACTGCTGTTTCTACAAATGATAACTCTTGAGGAGAGACGCAAGATGGCGCAGGTGTCTTTCATCTTCAAAATTATTCATGGAGATTTGAAGTCAACTTATGTTTCGGGCAGCATGAAATATTATGATTCAACACATAATACACGTGCAACACCGTTATTTTATTTACCAATTAGAAGGACTGATTACATAAAATATGAACCAATTAATTATATGCTTGCTTCATTCAACGATTTTTATACCAAAAAAATACCAAATAGTGATACTAATTTAATTGATATTTGATACGATTGGGCAGGAATTATTTTGGCAGGTGTAACGACGCAGCGCCAATTATTTAATATTTATATTTCTTTGAATAAACCACCAAGGTGAAGAAACGCTGTTCGGTGCAGTTATTATTATGTTATTATGTTATTATTATGTTGAACATACTGTATCAGTTAATCAAATGAAAAAATAAGTGAAGAAAACTTCTTATTCTGATACGTATAAAAAACGGCGAGCTATAAAACTGAAATCTGTACAAAAATTATGTCATATGTTTACTACAATTAGAAAATTTAGTTGATGTTTGAAATATGAAACAAATTTGATAAGAGAAAAATAATTATGGTTACATTGATGACAATATTAAGTAATGGTATTTAAATTCAAATAAAAACATAGATCCGATGAAAGTAGGCGCCCGATTCACATATTGAATATGTCATCTGTTGTAATTGGTGATGTTATTTTGTACAAAGAAGTACTTTTTGTACTTGTGTATTGATTTTAATCACAGTTAAATAGTGTATTGATTTGTATTGATTGATAATGTTACCTAGCAACCCAGCAAACAATTGATAGGGCAAATGCATCCATTATGAAGCACATATTGACGGTCGTTTTCGGGGTTAGATTCGTGTGTAGTTTCAGTCATTTCCATAGGTTTGGCATGGTGGAACATTCAGGTGTGAAAACATGGAAAAAGGGAAAGACAACCATTAGTATTAGTTGAACTGGGTATAAAATACTTTTTTTAAATTAAAAACTTTACTCACCTACGGGCACTCCCCCTCCGTACAATGTTGTACTATTGTACAACTAGACCACAAGACTTTATATAGTCTGTTCATGTCTAGCTAAGCTAACTATAATAGTTAAAATATTTTATTTTATGTAATTTTTTGAATGTATGATTAATTGATGATGTTTGTTAGTTGACATTGTTGTTGTAGTCCGGCGGTCTTAACAATGAAACTGGCAATGGTACATCAAAGATCCGGCAAAGTCCTATGTAATTTAAAGCAAATACATTAAATAATGAATATTCTGTTTCCAATTGATTCATACCTTTGAGCATAATGCATTTTGCTGCAACAATATCTCGGTGCCAAGTAACTGTTTGTGGAACAACATCATCATCATCAACATTTAATGGCCAATTTTTGTAGGTAACTTTAACCTTTGACATTAAACGCCCAGTCCGAATTTTTTCGTTCACAGCCTCACGATTGCCATCGATAATTTGTCGCTTAATAATTGCACGTTTTCTTCTCAAAACACGTCTGTTGACCGTTGACACAATGATATCTGGCAGTCCAGCGACTGAATCTGGCAGGCCATCAATCTTTTTCGCTCTACAATCGTAGCACACTTTAAATCGATCATCTTTTGTGTGCCTTGGAAAACGTTCCTGACAATTCGCGCATGTTTGTGATGTTCCCCATTCATCTTGCATTTCAACTTCTGAATGTCCAAGTTTCTTAATGCTCACACGAAACTTACGCGATCCCGGACATCTTTTACGCTTTTTTATTCCAAACGGTCGATCGGGTTTCATCGCCCAAGCACCAAATTGAACCAACGACGGTTTGTTGTTTGTCACACGCACGGCGATTTGATCATTTACTCTGGTCGAGCGAATGTGATGGTCTAAATCCAGTCGTGCATATTCACGCGTCGCATAAGCTGCCATTCCTTTTCGTAACATTTTAATGCGATATTCAATGTATGATTTCCATGTTGAATTACGTGGTGATGGTGGACGATATGGGTAGGTTTTGAGATGTTCCTTCTCTTCGATATCAAACCATCCAGCCAACTTTTTCGCTTCTTTGTCTCGTTTTTTCTGCTGAGTTTCCCAATGAAAACGCTGGTTTGGTATTATAATGTTTTCCTTCAAAATGCAAAATGATACAAAAAACTATGAGTTTCTATTCAAAACCATTTCAAATTACATTTCAAAATATCTTACCTCAACAGCCGGCTCATCAGGTGTTTTTTGAATGTTGCGACGCACTACAGTTAACCACGATTTTTCATTCGGATCGATTCCAATGATGTATTTCTTGCCAATGAGTTTTTCCGGCCCCCGATTCGCTTGGGTTGTTTGCTGTGGTCGTTGTTGTCGCTGTGGTCGTTGTTGTGGCTGTGGTTTCTTGTACATTATGGATATTGAAACACTATCGGTCAAAATCTGATGATGGAATGGTTTCGATTTGCCCAATTTATTTATTTTACCGACATCGAACAACATATTCCATAGACCTGATCGATCAGTTTGGGTGTAGTACTTTAAATTTCTCTTATTCATCCGGTTGGTCTGCGTATTGAGAAAAGAAGGCACCAAATCAAGCTCGTTTACAATTTTATAATACAAGTCCTTAATGTCCAATCGCACGTTTTTCAAATGGTAGTCGCATAATAGTATAAGAGCAAAACTGCTTATTTTTGGTGGTCGATTGATTGTTGGCTCTTGAAAGTTCGGATTGTTACGAAACATTTCATGAATGGTATTCCATTGTTCGGCATGACTGTGATACACTTCTATTTGCCGTTGCATTTGACCGAACAACCACAGTGATTCAAACCAACGATATTTTGCGAAAAATTTCATACTCACTGTTCCCGACCATCCAATTTCAGTCAAATCTCTCATTAAAATATTGAATTTTTCAACGCGTTGTGGATCCACATTATAACCATTTGTTAAATTCTTAAATCGATATGAAAACTCTTTGGCATTTCTGATGTCGATGTTATCAAATCTTGAGCCATTGTTGAATCGATTGCGATACCAACAACGCATTCGAAAAAAATTCTCAAGTCGTTTTTCACACCATGTGTTGGTATTGGTTTGAATGTTTGTCATATAATGTTTATAAAAATATCTCAAACCATTTCCCAACTTTTCATCATCTGGCCATCGGAACTGTTCTTCACTGTTTCTTTCTACCATGAAACGAAACTCGGGCAATATCCGATATCGACTATTAATATTGTTAACGTGTTGGTTTAATACCGCTCTGAAACAATCGGCAATGAACAGGCTTGGATGTGGTTTCAAAAAAAAATGCACGATCGTCATTATCAAGTGCTTCATTCAAAATAAAAAGAATAGAAAGTGATGCCAATGCTGCCACTTCTGTCATTTGAACACTGCGCTCGAATAGCATTTTGGTCACAACTTCTCCAACTCTTTCAATCCGTTCATGTTGTTGTCGCAGGATTGTTTGAAGTTCACATTTTATTACAACGTATTTGCTTTCTTCTGGTTGATTATCATCGAGCTCGTCGTCATCCATGTCTTTTTCTGTTCATTCTCAAAAAACTGATCAAATTATTCGAAAATAAAAAATAGACACAAATTTAGAAAAAAAATGCAACAAAAAAAGCATAGATTACGAATAAAATGAGATCACAATTTAAATGACAATCACTTATATCACAATTCAAATTAATCACTTCTTACCTCAACGATGTCACTCTGTATTCTGATTCAAATGATGAAATGTTTTCCAATATTCCGCAGATGAAAATTTTGTTGGAATATTCACCGTCAATTTTATGAATGCTTTCTTATTTTGAAATAACAACAGAGACAATCTCAAAACCAACAGTGAATTTATCCGTTTAACATCGAACAAACAAAATCATTGGAACAAATGTTAGCCAAAAATGACGACAAACAAATTGTTTCATACTCTAATATAAACACTCACACATAATTCTCAAGAATTCCTTTTACAAGCAAAGCACAATTTGTTACAAACAAAAAATGAGAACACACTCATATCACAATTCAAATGAATAACTTCTTATACTATATAACGCTGTGTCCTGATTAAAACGATGAAAATGTTTTTTTTTATTTTGAAATGAAAACAAAGACTGTCACAAAACGGACTGTGAATCTTTCCATTTGACATCGAGTGACTTCTACAGTTACGTTCCAAACACACCAAACCGTTGCTAAAATGACGATAAACAAAAAATGAAAAAATCTCATGTACAAGAATTCCATTTATTAATCACTGAATTTTGTTTTTTTTTTTTTCAACACAATGGCAACTTAACCATAATTACTTACCTTATTCTTAACAATAACTTCAAAATATTTTGATGCGAAAAAATCCCTATTTAGTTCGGTGCCGGAATTATAATTTCATACATTGTTCAAAGAAATTAATTGATACGATGCAATGTTTACGAAGCACATTTTGAATGTAATCAGAAAAATCGGCTTCGATATGATACACACCAATACACACAGCTACCAACTGTCAAATGTCGTACACATTCAAACATGTTTCGAATTCGAAATTCGAATTTGAATTATGAAATAAAAAAAATAAAAAAATGTTTCTGAAACTAAAATCAAATCAAACAAATCTAAAAAAAAGGTACATTTATAAATGTATTTCACAGTCACTTGAAATTCCTACGCAATGTTTTTTTTTATTCATGCACAATCGAAACACACACAGAGAGAAGAGAGTAAGATTTGTATTTTCATCCTCTTTTTTTTCCGGTTTGTTTTTCAAATTTCATTTGCTTAAAATCAATCGTATGAATACGATATTATGAACTCAACGAGTTTATGTTATTTACATTTGTTTACATTGTATTGCCGCTACAGTTTCTTAGAATATAATAACAAAAAGAGAAACAATCGAAACACACAGAAGATGTTGTTGTGTATCGCAATACGAAAAAGCCGAAAAAGTGGTTCACATTATGCCTATATTCTACCTTCCATTTGACACGAAAATTGCCACAAAAATGGGTTAAAGCGTTACATTTTTTAACGTTAAAATGTCCTAAAAACGTTACATATTTGTCCGTTGGGAAGAGAGTGTCTATTTTATTGCCAAAGATTTACACAATGGTAGCGACAATCTTTTTACAAATATAATGATATTCGAGACATAAAAAATAAATATAATAAATTGTAATGTTATTGAAGTATGCGTGAGTATGTATGAGTGTGAGCATGATGTGAATTATGTATGTGTGAGTGTGAGCATGAAATGGAATTGTCAAATGTTGCCCGATGCATGAATGTGGCGAAATGGTAAATGTAGCTTAGTTGTGTGAAAGTGACACTTGTAGCTCAGCTGTCATATTGGAACATATGTCTCTTCCTATTCTGTTGTGAACACTCGAGCCGAACACATCGTTGTAAGAGTAAAATCAAATTGGAATAAATTTAATTCAAAATCATCCGTGTCAGTTTATAACTTATTACAAAATAACATAAATGTATTCGAGACTCATCCCACATGAAATACAACGATCTCTGTATTGATTGAAATATCATTACACGCTGTCATTATTAAAGATAAAAAAAGACTTTGCGAACAAATACATAGGCACGCTTTATAATAACAACATCATTGAAATAAAATGTGAGATAAAATCGTCGAGCGCACACTACATTTATAATTCATCTAAGCCAGTTTTTTGTTCGATGCCGACTTGGTAAGACGCGCCTTTTCGACTCGTTTTCATAACTGCGATATACAGATAGTTTTTTTGTTGTTCGTAAAAGAGACAAATTTTTATTTGCGATTCGTTTTCCAATCAAAAGTATTGAATTAATAGAAAGATATCAAAACGATCTCACATAAGAAAACAAGTTTTTCACCAGTGAGAGCAAAAAAAAACACATAAAATATTAATATTTGATTTTTGGGGAATTTTTAAGTTATTTCAACTTTCGTTCAAAGATAGAGCATTTTGGTGCTTAAGTCTAACGACTAGATGCGTAGTTGCTCAGAGGAGATTTCAATAAAATTGGTCATATTATCAATAAAATTTTAAAAAGGTGAGGAGACTTTTTTAGAACTAAATAATTGTTTTTTTCTCGTCTACAGTGTTCTCAACGGTGTAATTAGAAATCAATGTTTTGTTTTTGCGAAAGAGAATTTATCAAATATTTTGAAAATCGATTGGTACATTTAATATTAAATCAATCTATAACGAATAAGATTTACCATTTTTGAGATCTATGAAGCATATTTTTCAAAAGAGACTATTTGTTGAATTTTATTTATCAAATTTTCGAAACCATAGATTGAGCTAGCCCAAAAATTTGGTGAACTTGTCGATCACTTCAATTATAAATACATGATCCAATGAAAACAATACTAGGTAAAAGGATATATTGAATTTGATCTCTGTACATTGAGATCGTAATTAATTCAAACCCAAAAACCATTTACTCTTGATATTTGTGTATGCAATTTTTCATTTCATTTAATACTTGTAAATAAGACTTCACGTTACATCCAAAAACAAACATTCAACGACAAAAAAATGTTACGAAAGTGTTTCGTGATTTACATCGCAAATACTGATAAATGTAAACGATTGAAGTTTATTTAGATACAATTTATTTAAAAAAACACATTTGTGGAATGTTTTGGCTTCAAAAAAAGAGATACACAACAAGCATATTTATTAGAGATTACTTTCAGATTTCCTCCAAATTACATAAATGTTTTTCCATTCGTTTTCTCTACTTTGTAAATTAAATAAAAAAAACAAATGCACAATTGTGTGTATTAAAATAAAATATAATGAAGAGAATATAATAACAAAAATCAGATGTAGACTAGCTATAAATTGTTCAATAAATTGAACCAGCATGATAAAATGTTCTGACAAAAGCACACTGGGCCCAAAATAAAAATCTATTTGAAAATCGTTTTTAAAATATTCAAAATCATATAACCTATGGCAAATAAAATGATTTCAAGCACAAAAAATGTATTGCGTATGCTAAAACAATAAAATTCAAGCAAGAAAGACGAAAACAGTATGGGAAGAAGATATGAAAAGTAATGAAGCAAAACATTGACGCCGAAATTGAACCAAAAACCTTGACACTATATCCAATTGGTTAAGTAAATGATCTTGCGATAAATATGCCGTAGATAGGTTTGTGTGTCAGTGTGTATTCGTGCAATGCGAACGAGATGCGAGAGCGCAATTCAGATGTTGTGAGCAGAGAGGTTTTCACCCAACTTTGTTTGTATGCGTGATTTAAGAGGAACTAGGTGCGCATATGGGGCTATGTAAAGCACTTTAAATATACATACAGAGAGGTTGGTCTTATTTCATGCAAAATACCTATTCAAATACACCGACGCAATACGTAATATTACTAAAAATATATTCAGTGTGTGTATTCAATGAAAGATTGAGATGCCCTGGCAGTTTCCTCTGACGCAAATGTAAACAAATTGAAATTTTTTTCACATTGTTTGGTATTTTTGAACATCATACACATCGCTTATGTTCAAGAAATGTTGTGTCCAATAATAATTGATCGATTTAAATTAGAGAGAAAACAAATATTTGAACAAATTTTATTTTTAAGAAAATGCTTTTAAAGACTAAATACAGGATTTGGATAGCAAAACTATGGCTAGTCTAGTTCTGGAACCATAAAAAATGATTTTTCCGTTCCTTTTAAAAACCGATTCAAATCTATTCCTATAGTTGTCGTTAGAAAGCCACATGGGAATTTATGGGAAAACTAAGGAGTAGACTGGCCCCCAAAACACAAAAGTTGAAATTTTTTCGCTCTTACCTCGGAATACTTTTCCATATGGTGTGCAAATAACGTGTGTAAAGTTTCATGCCGATAGCTCAACGCTAGATGGTGCCATAGAGCTCGGTAGGTAATAATTTATTGAAAAATGTCATTCTCAGTTAAAACAAGAATATCTTCGCACAAAAATATTGACTAAAAATTGATGGTAATCATCATTTTCCATTGAACACTTGCCACTGGTGAAGTTTCAAACGATTTGGATGAATTTCAGTACAAAATTTATGATTTAAAATAAGGGCGAAAAAATTTAAACTTTTATGTTTTGGGGTCTACTAAGGTCTGCAATTTGAAAATTAATAAAAGAAAATAGAATTCTACTCAAAGAAAAGAAAATCGATAAATCTAACCAAGTTTTATAGGACTTTTGTTAACGAACACTTTTTTAAAGTGAAAACAGAATAATCAATGAAACATAAAATTTTCAAATCAAAATCACTAAAAAGTTTTTCAATTTTATTCCACGTTTATTTTTTGGACTGTATTTTCTGGACATTTTAATTTTAACTGAATACGAAACACAAGCCAGAGCGAAAGTATACAAATATGGGTGAAACATTTTCTCTTGAAATCAACACAGTTAACTCATGTAACTCTCGAGACCATCAGCCAATAATCTGGTTTCGTGAATCAAGAAATTCGTGAATAAAAAAAAATCATAAGTTGAGTTTTCATGTTTGCTAATGTGAATAAAAAAATCTATTTTCGTGAATCAAGAAAATGCCTTATTTTACACCCTGATTCAAATAATTCTTAAATAATATATTGGGTGTATCGATTAATTTTTACCGTTTTTTGGGTGAAAATCTATATTTATTTGAATAACCAAATGAATGAGTACATTAACCAATGTATTGCCCATCGTTAGCTTTGACTTCCGCCCATCTTCTTGGTAGCTTGTCGATTCCGCGTCGAAAGAATTCCTCATCTTTTGAGGCTATCCATTCATCGATCCATTTTCGCACTCCTTCAGGATTTCGAAACGATATCTCGGACAAACCCATTTGCATCCATCGAAACAAGTGGTAGTCAGAAGGAGGCATTATCATCGTGAAACACAACTTTGTCTTGTTTAGACGCTATCCGTGGCCGTTTAATCTTCAATGCATGCTCCATTTTGATTAATTGCATGCGGTAGCGTTGGGCTGTAACCGTTTCACCTGGTTTTAGCAGCTCATAATACATGACACCTTTTTGATTCCACCAAATGCACAGCATGACCTTCTGGCAATGAATATCTCGTTTTGACTGCGATGGCCCTGGTTGGCCTGGATCGACATACGCTGCTTTACGTTTGGGGTTGTCGTAATAGACCCACTTTTCATCGCCCGTGACAATTCGACTCAAAAAACTATGTTTTTTGTGTTCTTTGAGATGTTCTCTGCATGCTGTGATTCGTGCTTTGAGTTGATTTTCGTTCAGTTGATGTGGGACCCATTTTCCTAGCTTTCGAATCTTTCCCATTGCGTGTAAACGTTCACAAATGGTTGATTGAGAGACATTTAATTCCAATGCAAGTTGTTTTTGCGTTTGACATGGATTTTCATCGAGTAATGCTTCCAAATCCGTATCTTCGAACTTTTTTGGCTGACCTGGCCGTTCTTTGTCTTCCAAATCAAAATCACCACTTTTGAATCGTTGAAACCATTTTCTGCAGCTTGAATCTATTGGAGCTTGTTTACCATAAGTATCCGAAAGCATTCGTTGCGCTTCAGCCGCAGTTGTCTTCGTATCAAATAAGAAAAGGAGAGCACTTCGGAAAAACATTTTATCGCGATCCATTTTGAATTGATAAAAAATAATGACACTGTGTCGAAAATAAATCTTTCTGCTCTGAATTAGATTGGCAAATGTCACATGTACAAAATGCAATTGGATTCACCTGTCAAACTTCATACAAGTTTAAGTGGCGACATCTAACAGTCAGCGGTAAAAATTAATCGATACACCCAATACAATTTGAGCCATTCCCATCAAGCAAATTTGAAAGATTAATTGTTTTTGACTTTTAGTTTGAATTTTATGTATATCTTAATAATAATAATAACTGCACCGAAAAGCGTTCCTTCGCCTTGGTGGTTTATTGAAAATAATTTAATTAAATATATATAATATAATACAATTTGATTTTTATCAAGCATTTTTGAGAGAGAAAATGAAAAATGATTGCTTCTCTCATGTAAATAATATAAATTTCATAAATTAATTTTTCAACTGCTTAAAATTTCTATAATCCATAACACATTTTTGTATTTATCTGTTTTGCTTTAAATAATTTTCTATTCTCAGTTTGATCGTTGATAAATTAACTTTTAATAATAATAACTGCACCTTCACCTTGGTGGTTTATTGAAAATAATTAATTAAAGAAATATAATATAATAAAATTTGATTTTTATCAAGCATTTTTGAGAGAGATTTATTATTTTCATTTTGATTGGTTTCATTGAAAATCCAATTGTTCAATTCGATCGTAACGTTGTATAAAAATTCATTAGTTTTGAGAACACGATGAAATAAAATTAATAACATTATGATCAATTCAAACGCATTGATCTCGTTCAATTTACTGCATTCATAGCGGAAAAATGACATAAAACAAAGCAAATATATATAAAGATATAACTATATATCTTCTTCACAACCACAAATGAGAAGAAAGAAGAAGAATAGAGTGAAGATGTGTGTAAATAAAGAGCGAAAAATGAATACAATCACAGCCACGACCTGAAAATAAAATCATGTGGGTTACACACCAATAACATTCAGTCATGCTGAATGCAAAGTGATTTTAATAATTAACTAATGCTGGTTGTGACCCTGGTCACAAAATTCATCAACGACCATTCAAAACCTATAAGATATCTTAAGATGAAGAAAAGTTTTTAATTTTGTCTATTCTTCTTCCATTTCAATCGATATGCGGTTTACTCATTTTCGACGTTTTCTTGGAAATACACAAAACAAAATGGCAATAATTTGAATTTCAATAAATCGATTAAACTAATATTTATCCGTATGTTTCAGTATCTCTCCAAAGATCGGAAAATAAATCAAAGGAAAGATGGCAAATCCAATTTTCCAGAGCTGTTGCAGTTGCCAGACCTTGCGTATTGGTTCCGTTATTGCTGGTGTTGCAGCCATTCTTCTTTCCATCGTTTCGCTCATTATAATGTTTACCGTGCGTGTTACTTACCGAACGATTTTCCTCGATTGGCTACCGCCGAATATCGTTAGAATTATCATTGCATTTAATTTGTTGATGACCATTTTGATATCGGCTATAATGTTGGTTGGAGCACTTAAGGTATGTTTGATCACCTTAGCAATTTTTACTGTAGTAATTGCATTGCCATTGCATGCTAAAAATGCCAATTATTTAAAATGACAGCGAAATCATTATTTGATGTTGCCATGGGTAGTTCTTGGTGCAATGTTAGTCGTGGGATTATTGTTATCGGTCATCTACACTGGATTTATGTTCATCATTGACGGATTTGTAATGACAGCTATAGTGTGGATCATACTTGGTCTCATAGTTACTGGTAAATTTTTCAATTCGACTAAATTCAAATCAACTCTTTATCCGAATCGCATTTTAAATAAGAATATATTCAATTATTTTGTAGCTATTTTCGCATACATGTGGTGTGTTGTGTATAGCCATTTCACAGTTTTACGCGAAGAGACCAAACGAGGCAAATACAATCGTCAACCATATAGACGATAAATATTAAATTTGATTTCACACATATGCGGTCATCAATTGGATGAAAATTATAAGTGCGGATGTATGTTTTGTTAATAACAAAACAAATCATATTACTAACAAACTACGACTAACAAATGAGATACACAAAAATGATATTCTAATCGAAATAATTTGTCGATCGTTGTAGAGACTTGTTCGAAGTTAGATTACTTATCACAGTGATTCGACTATGTCGTTCTTTAAATTTTATATTTAATTATTGAATAATTTCAGCGTTTTATTCATCTTCATTAATTTATTGTTTTCTTCTTTGATATTAATATTATTTTTATTGATATTGCATCCAGAAATTTATATTTTTGCTTTGATAGATATTTATTCGTTAAAAAATGGGAAAATCAAAATGAAAAATATATTTTAATAATTATAATTGTATATGAAACAAATGTTGAAATTCTTATAAAATAAAATTATTGTAATTCATTGACACAAAATTATGTGTTTTTTTCTATTCATGTAATGTTTTTCAATCAAAACATGTTCCTTATTTTGAATGCATGAAAATATCGCAAACGAAATTAAGGATTTTTAATTTCCCACATTATAAAGAAATTTTGAGTAAAAGTTTATAAAATGTAAGAGAAAGTCAAAATTATAATCACTCATTCATTGAGAAGAAATGAGTGAAAAAATGAGAAAATCATATCATCAAATAAGCAAAAGACACACATATACAAATTTGTACGCACACATACATGGACCAGTCCTATTGACATTTCGACGAATGATGTAGTAAACAAAAGTCAGTAGAAATAATCAGTCGGCATTCTTGTATAGTATTAATAACAATGGCGGCGACCGCAACAAACTTGGTCGAAATTCAAATCGAGAGTTTTGTTCATAAAATATTGGTAAATAAAAATGTATATGTAGTTATTTTTATTTTTTTATTTTTTTTGTATCCCCATAATTTGTAGAATGTCACATTTTTGGAAGAGGCATTTGGTTGCGTTATTGTTCACGAGCTAAACGCTGCGACTACAAAAGTTCAGCATTTGACAGAGCAAATGAGTAAGTAATTGTTTTTCTATAATTCGTAAAATGAACTAATTTAATGGAATTTTCACAGTGAAAGTTCTGTCTGGTTTGACTGCAGATCAAAAAGAAAACGCTTTCCGAAGTTATGTTCTATTAGTAGCGGCTGAAAATAATTTGGTACACTTGAAATGGCTTTTTCAAGTGGTCGTACAACTGGTAAATGCAAATGTAATTACAGCCAGGTAATTTGATATACACGAATTATTACTCAAAAAATGGTGATTTCAATCTTTATCTTTAACCATTTATGATGTTTTGTAGGATGGTGTGTGAACAGATTTTATCGTGTGACCGATTAATCCACCAAAATAAGAACTTTTGGATCGCATCATTTCAATTGATTCGAAAAATTATCAATCTTGTGGATTACAAAGGTGTTCGGGAAATAATGAAAGGATGTCGCGATAAGATTCAATCATTTCCATACAACATCAATTCAAGTATTATGCCTCAAATGAAAGCTGTCGAAAGCGTTATTGAACATATATTTGATCGGAATGCATGCCTGTTGCCTGCCTACTTCATTGCCAATGAAATACAAAAATCGGGACCATTGCATTGGAAAATTTCACAGTTGACTTGCAGTTTTGTCGAAGATTTTAGAAATGTTGCACAAATGATTTCGATTATTGGACACGTGCACATGCTGCCAATTGTTGAACATTTCGGCTACACTGAATCACTGATCAATCCTTGGAAATTGGACTTGAACACACTGAAATTTACACATCGCGGAATTTTACCATACGATCAAGAATTGTATCAACCGCAGAAGAATCTTTTGAGATATGTTTTAGAGCAACCATATTCAAAGGATATGGTATCGACAATGTTAAACCTCCCAAAACCGGTCAGTACCGAATACCAATTTTATTACAAATTGTTTCAATAACATTGTTTTAATTTCGTTTCTTCGGCATGATTTCAGAATAAACAACACATTGCCGCAATTGAAGAGCAATTAGTCTGGTTAATTATATCAGCGATGGAACGCACAGAAGAGGAACCTCTTAAAAGCAATGACAATGAAGACAGTTTTGACAGCATACATTGGCTATGGGCACATATCTCCTCACAATTAATCTATTTTGTTTTGCTTCAATACGCAAGTTTCCCAAACATTGTTAGCACTTTGCATGAAAAGGTATTTGTGGTATCTTTTTTTCCACCACATTTTATAATTTTCAATCATTCATCATTTATAGTTGACAGTGAAAAATCTTCGAAAAGGTCGAGACTACTTAATGTGGTCACTTTTACAGTTCATCTCAGGCAGTATACAACGTAATCCGGTACGGTAGTGAAACAAGCATTAAAAAATACTATTCCAATACTCTACAATTCCTGATCCATTCCTTCGATTCATTTTCCATTCTTTTCCATTCTGTTCCATTACTTATTGATTCGTACATATATGAAACATGCTGTTTTCGAACATTGACATTTTTATGTACATATGGTTTTTACGCCAAAGTGAAAATGCCAAAGAAACATAAATGGAGCACGTTTGAGGACAATTCTTACTCAAAACGAGGACAATTTTTTTAAAAAATCGAGGACACTTTACATAAAATTCGAAAATGAACCCCAAACAATCATACAATCATGAAATGCCGTATGCATTCGATTTCAGTTATTTGTTTGTTTTTTATATAACTAGATTTACATCAAAATATTTCATATGATGGAAACAGAAATATCTTTGAATTTGAGAGAAAGAGAGAGAGTGTGTATGTATGTCTGGCCGAATGAATGACTGACTGAGTGAGTTGGAGATGATTGGGAAACCATTGGGAATGTAAGAAACTATATAGTTTGACCACACACATAGGAAAGAAACACATTGTATGAATATTTGAGATTTGGTATATAGTAGAGAGATGAGCCGGTGCACAAACAGCAGCATCGGAGCAACGTCACAGCAAAAAAATTGTGCAGCGAGTGTACGGACATACGACAGCAGTAACACACAAAGAGAGAGAGAGAGAGAGAGAGAGAGAGAAAGAGAGAGAGAAAGAGACAAACACACACATTTGGTGAGTAGATTTGAATATAATAAGTGATGATGTTAGATAAATTTGTATGTATCTTGTAGAGTGTCTTTTATTTTAGCCAGTCAGTGAAGAGAAGATGTATACAGTAGGTCACTACGAAGAACCAAAAAACTGCGTTGAAATTGCAAAAGGATTGATGATGTTAACAAACAAAATGGCGTCATGCACACAATCGCCAAGGCTGCTGTCACGAATGCTGTCACTACGCAATAAAGAAAACAATACGTTTAATTCATTTCTAATTCGAACAAAACAACGTACTGTTACCGGCTTTGTGAATGTGCAATCATGAAACTAGAACTACAGTGCCAGTAGCCATAGCAAGTCATTTAAAGTGAGACACGCAGACGGAGACATTGAACAACAATTGAAGTGATCGGAAAAACCCTTTCCGGACCAAATTTCAATGCCTCATATGGGGTCAAATCTTACAAAGTCGATTTAACACTTTTTTGGTCCAGAAATCTTTAAAAAAGGTGAATGAGAAAAATATCAATTTTAAGGCATTTTTGCATGCTGATTCCGAATTTTGGGGTTTCAGGTCAAAAAATCATATCTTGGTGGTTTTTTGACCGCCCGACCCCCTTAAGGGGTGGGGGAGCAGGGGTCCTTAAAAGTTTCTCTCGTCATTCTGAACAACTTTGTAGTACATTATTTTTTGATCGGATGAAATTTTTTGGTCGGCAACAAAGGTATAGAGTAAGAGGGCGACGAGGACCAGTGCCACGCGGTTGGTTGTTCGAGACGTACAGCAAATATTACTGGTAAATTTAATAGATATACTTTTATTCACCTCGCATATTCATTCATTCTGCACTAAACTAAATTTCATTATGCAATCCGCATCGAAATTGGCCATCGTTTGTGGCGGTGCCACAAACATCATGCAAGATTCGATACAGAAGGATTCGTACGGCTAACAAATCTCTTGTATGAAGCAGGGACTGGCGAAAAAGTCCCATCTACCAAAGGTCGGTGGTCGCTTGCCCGACACAATGCATTTTGGCGTCGATTTGTAAACTTGGACAAAATCAATAAGCCCAGTCAACAATTTGACTTTTCATTCACCACCGATGGATGTTCAGCCCATTTGAAAATGATTCGGAGATCCACTAATGTCAACAACAACACCAATAATAATAACAACAATGATGATGATGGTGATGATGACAATAATGCAGTTCCGAATCCAGAACAACCGGATGCAGTGCCGACAATCATTCAACGTGCTTACGATTCAGGTCAGATAAAAAGAACCATCGGTCGTGATCCACAGAGAATTTGTGGGGTTCGTACGCAAAGATTAGGCAACCGATAATGAAGAAAATTTTCTGAAATCATCGAAAGAGTGGCTCCATATGACTGGGCGATTTACGGGTGCATTTGAGAAAAAATGTCGCAAACTGCGCGAAAATCGCCAAATTTATGAAGAAATACTATAGAAGAGAAGTGCCGACTACCGTACCTATCTGGATTACCAGCTTCAACCACCAACTACCAGTATTCAATGAATCATGCGAGGTATTAATTTATTTATTTTTTTCTCTCTCGATTTGATTTGATTTCATTTCATTTCATCTTTATGATGTGTGTATGTATGTCATTCATTCTTAATTATTGCAGATAAAGTACCAAAAACGTGTGGTTCGTTTAAAGTTTGATGCATATAGACGTACGCAGAAAATGACAAAAGTTGTTGGCGAAGCAAATGACAAAAAGCGATTGCAAAATGGCAAATGCTGAGAAAACAGTGATATTGGCATTTGGTGGTACTGTGTCCGCATCGAGTATTGCAACAAACGCACGTGACTATGTATTCGTTTTGTCAATCAACGAACACAATACATCTCAGAAGTGCGATCAATCAGGACGTAAGCTCAAGAAACGAAAGACCGTGCCAGAAAGTCAATCAAAAGACCGATAAGACCATTATAAATGAATGAAATAATAATTATTATTATTGATTGTGTTTTCTTTTCTTCATTGTCGAACCAAAAAACAAACAAAAAAATCAGTTTCCTAGTTTGCCCCAATTGTAAACCGGTCCAAGTTGGCGTTTTTCACGATCCACTTCAATGGAAAGGCAGAGTCACCAACATACAAAAAGAAACATCCAAAATGTAAAGAAGCCTAATGTACATTCCATCGACCGGTTCCAGAAGCAAATCCAAATCCGAATCCAGAACCAAGACAAAAGAAAAAGAGATACAAGAAGCAGGTGGAACCGAAAACATCAGTTATATTCAATCGCGAGAAATATAATCAAGAAAGGATTGTACATGTTGAATCAACTCAATTATAACAATTAAAATCAAAAATATAAGCACGGACGTCTGCGCAAACATTCTCATAATGGGAATCTTATTGTTTCAAACAATGATACCAAGAAATAGTAGTGGATGATGCTAACAAGTACCAGAAATAATAAGCACATTAATGGCATTTTTTTCTCTTTTCACAGTGATCAACGATCTCAACACTACTACTACTACGACCAAATCTCAAATTAAAGCAATTTTGTTGTGGTCATTGCTTTTGCGCTTAAACTATATATTTTCTTTTATATTTTCATTTTCCATTCCGTTCCATTACTCATTGATCAATTTCCATGCTTTCCTGAATTTAAAATATAATTTCGATACGCGATTGCAGGTATCAAACTTCATGTCAGTGTTGAGTTTATTTGATATGCTCTATCCAGAAAAGGAACCGCTGCCAGTACCTGATTGCACCAAAACTTATGCAACACGACAGGTATCAATAAAAATCTAATCTATCTAATAAAAATAATATAGACTGATTCTTCGTTCTATTTCAATTCTAGATGGCTCCAACATTTATATGGATTCATTTGGAGAAGAAGGCCAAATCAGATCGCATAAATTTACATCGTGATGTACCAAATTCGCTGAAGAAACACCATGAGTATGTGTTCGATAAAATTCGTCTTGAATGATCCAAGCCAAATAATAATATGAATAAAATTTCACTTCTATGCAGATTTTTAAAGCATTTAATGATGACAAATAGTCAATTGACAATGGGTACTGACTTTATTTTTTTTCTTGAGTTAATCACAATACAAAAAATCTTAATATACACATACATACATAAATGAAAATAAAACAATTTGTCGCGATTCTAAGCAGAATGCTGATACAAATTGAGATTTGGCTGTGGTTTTAGCAGTGGAGTGATTCAATTTAACAAATCACCACTACCAAATCTTTTTTTAAGCAATCTGATTGCGCATTTTGATATTATGAAAATATATTCTCCATTCTGAAAGTAAAAAGTAGTGACCATTATGCTCGATTACATGTTGATTAATTTACATTATTTATATTTTTTCTCCTGACCATTATAGGTACTGATTTTACAATTGTTTTACTATGTAATGCATACTCAACAAATCCAGACTATTTCACACGACCGATGGCCGCGTTGTTTGAAACCATAAACAAAACACCTGGGGGAGCAACACAACCAACAGTACCATTATCAATGGTTACGCTTGATAGCTTGACAGTTCATGCAAAAATGTCACTCATTCACAGGTAATATAGTCATTTTGCAATTTAAAACACCGTAAACTAATTTGAAATTATATATATTTAGCATTGTGTCACACATAATAAAGGCTGCACAGTCGAAGAACACAGTTCCGGTTGGTTCAAATATGGCACCAGCATTGGTTGAAACATATTCACGATTACTTGTATATACTGAAATTGAGTCGCTTGGCATCAAAGGATTTTTAAGTAATTTCATTCTTATTATTATAACTCAAGTTGATTGTGTATAATTTTAAAAGTGAATTTTTATTTTGAAAAGGTCAACTGTTGCCGACAGTATTCAAATCACAAGCATGGGGAATTTTACATACTTTGCTTGAAATGCTATCATTTCGAATGCACCATATTCAATCATTTTATCGTGTTCAATTTTTGAGTCATTTACATTCATTAGCATCTGTACCGCACACAAATCAAACACAAATTCACCTATGCGTAGAATCAACGGCATTGCGTTTGATTACGGGCATGGGTTCAGCAGGTAAGAAAATAAATAAAATATGGAATTGAAAATAAATCTTAAATTAAGAACAATATGCAAATGAAATGAAGTCGCGATAGCAAATAGTTTCGGAATTAATATTAAATGTTATCCGAGACAACAGTTAGTATCATTTTCATTTGATTTTGTTTTCATTTCATTTCCTTTTTTGTTCCATATTGATTATTTTCCATTATTTTTATTTTTCACCCTAGGTTCGGCAGAAGTGCAACCTCAACTCTCCCGATATTTTGCTGATTCAAAAATACCCGGTAGTGTTGTATCGACAGAAAGTGAAGAATTGAATCGTGCTCTCATTTTAACTGTTGCACATGCAATGCACATTACCGGTTCAGGTGTTGAAGATCAATCGAATGCTTGGTGCAAAGAGTTACTTTCATCGATTATGCAGCATACACCGCATTCATGGGCGCCACACACATTGCAATGTTTTCCACCAATCTTAAACAATTTCTTCACACAAAACACCATTCCAAAAGAGAACAAACAATTATTGAAGAAATGTGTCGAAGATGAATATCGTAATTGGGCCCAAATGACCAATGAAAATGATGTCATCACACATTTCACTACACCAGGAACACCACCCCTATTCCTATGCGTTCTCATTAAAATGATTTTGGAAACCGACAGTATTAACGCGGTGGCATATAAGTGAGTATAAATTATTTGCAAAATTCAGTAACCAAAAAAACCAACATAATTAACATGTGTTCGATATAATTTAGAGTATTGGAACGAATTGGTGCTAGAGCATTATCAGCCCATCTTCGAAAGTTATGCGATTATTTGGCGTTCGATTTCACAATATCTGGACAAAACAACTTAAACATTAGCAAACTTATTGATGCAGTTAATAGTTTAATGTGGAAATACAATGTGGTTACACTTGATCGACTTGTTTTGTGTTTGGTAAGATTGAAAATTAATTTGATATCATATAGAATAAGCATACCTGGACACAGGGGGGTAAAATTGAATCAATTTGAACGTAAGCATCTGGTAGCTTATTATATAAAAAGACACGCCCAAAGGGAGTTTAGGGGGGTCAGACAAAAAAATTAATGCCCCCAATCGATAGAGCACACCTCTTTACCTATAGAATGACACTATTTCCAGAATCATTATCTACCAGATGCTTACGTTCAAAATTGATTCAATTTTACCCCCTGTGTCCAGGTATGAAAATAAATATGGACTATACAATTTCTCTTCATTTTTCCAGGCCATAAGAACGCAGGAAGGGAACGAAGCACAAGTTTGTTTCTATATCATTCAACTGTTATTGTTGAAATCAAACGAATTTCGTAATCAAGTGGTTGATTTTGTAAGAGAAAATTCTCCCGATCATTGGAAACAAAGTAACTGGTACGTAGAACTTTGACTTAATTTTTGAAACTTTCACGAAATATCACTAACACGAATATTCTGAAAATGTTGACCACTTGTCATACAATATGTTATATTAGGCATGAGAAGCATGTTGCATTCCATCAGAAATACCGTGAAAAATTCTCACCTGATGAATCAGTTACGCATAATCAATTGCCAGTGTATTTCGGGAATTTGTGTCTACGCTTTTTGCCTGTTCTCGATATTGTAATTCATCGTTTTCTGGAAGTACCAATAAATAGCGTAAATAAATCTCTAGAGAGCATTTTAAGTCATTATGGTTGTCTGTACAAATTTCATGGTAAGTATTGAAATTCAACTTCTATTCGCTTAAACTGATTGATTATCTTTCAATTAAATACGAATTTAGATCGACCCGTTACTTATTTGTATAATACATTGCACTTTTACGAGCGTAAGTAAAAATTACTACTTCATTACTTTCATTTCATGCATTTGAAATATTTACAAAATGAATGTACAAATGATATATACGAATGAAACACATGAAAGTAGTTGGGTAACATAAATTAAGAACAAATTGCAAATCAAACAAAAGTCGCGATAGTAAACAGATTGGTGAAAAATTGAGATTTGGTAGTAGAAGCAGTGGATCAAAGCAACAGAAAAATAAACATCGGGTACACAATATCATTGTATCGGAAGAACATCACACTCGAGAACATGGCACGGTGATCGGACAATACGACAACATTAACCTGGTGAGTTCATTTAAATATTGTATTGTGTGCAACAACTGCCTACTTGGCACACTATACTATAGTAAGCATTTTATTTTTTGTTTCTTCTACAGAATCGCGTTCTCAGCATTACTACTACTAAATCTCAAATTTGAGCAATGTTGTGGTGACTGCTTTGCTCTTAAACTATACGTGCACATATTTTATTTTCATGATATGTTTCGATTACTTAAATTACTTACTGATTAATTCTCATTATTTTCTATGTGATTAACTCTAGGTAAGCTCCGTGACCGACCTGCATTGAAAAAATATTTGGTAAGCATTTTCATTTGAATTCTTTGCGAAAAAAAAATCCATCTACGAATTTGCATTTCATTTTCTCTCAGGTTAATGCAATCATTGGTTCTTTGGCTGAAATACGTCCACCAAATTGGGTAATTAGCTAATATTTTTCATTATTTCCATTGCTTGTTTGTTAATTTCTATTACTTACATTCTTTTCTGTGTCCACAGGTACTGAGTGAACAGTATCAAACTTTTTTCCAAAAAGCTGATATCGAAGAGGTGCATTGGCAACCAGACATTTCTTACTATATTTCTCATGTGCGACGTATAGCTGACAGTAAGAAAAACAGCATTTGAAATATTTTCTAAGGCTAATCAATAAATGATTTTTTTGTTCTAGCAATTTCTGGAAAAAATGTATTCTACATAAGTGATTGGCGTTTTAATGAATTTCCAAATGCACCAGCGCATGCATTGTATGTAACGGGTGTGGAGTTGCTGAGTTTGCCGGTGAGTCCAACGATTGTGGCAAACAATATCATTGATGTAATTGTGAAAGGATACACAGTAATTCCGCACAATGAAATACATGGCTGGATCAATGTAGTTGGATTGCTGTTGACAGCGTTACCAAAATGCTATTGGAGTGTCATTTATGATCGATTACAAGACGTTTTAAAGTCAGAGAAAATGACCGAATGGCCGTACCGCTTTTCACCATTCGAAATGTTCAATTTTAAAACAGTGACTGAAGCAATGATCGAACGGAAATATATTCTACTCTTGGCAGTGGCTCATTCAATTTTGCATCATTCAAGCATCGGGCAAATGGTCACAATCGCTGAGTAAGTTTAAAATCAATCAATAATAATAAACATATAAAATTCAATCGTGTGTTTTTTTTAAAGATTTATCAAGGAAAAGTTGAAACCACACGTGTTGAAAGAGCATCAATTAATATATGTTTGCCATTTATTTGGACCTTTCATGCTCCGGCTGGATCATGAACGCCCACGACTTGGTTACGATTTGACGAATTTATTATACGAACTGCTTGAGCAAGTTGACAGAAATCATGGGTCCGAACCATTAAAATACATGGATTCGATTTGTGATTTATTGTATGTATTACGGCAGCGAAATATTTTGATATTAAGTAATCACTTACTATTTTATTTCAGATATCACATAAAATATATGTTTGTCGGTGATATGCTAAAGACGGAGACCGAAGTAATCATTCGCAAATTACGCCCAGAACTTCAGATGCGGTTAAGATTCATCAGTCATTTGAGTGTTGACGAAATTTCAGCTTCGTCTGGACATAAGTATATTCCACAACCTCCGGTAGAGATTTCACCACCACTCAAGACTTAATTCCCGATGTTCAGAAAATAGAAAATCATTTTAATTACCGTGTCCTTATTTTTTGTAGTGATTCTTATTTCTTTCTTCACCAAATATAACAGCTCAACCACAGTTTACTCAAAAAGGAAAATTTACTACGAAAAGTACCTCTGAATTGTATTGACATTACTTCAAACTTTTAGAATGTAAGCTTTTGATACAGGCATTGATTTCATACAAAAAATTCCAATGGTATGAAAAATGCGTCAGAAATTATGTGTATCGCAAAACCAATGTCAGATTCTGTTTTCTCGTGAATTCAAATGTACAAAAAAAGATAATAAATACAAATACCTGTTGTGGATCACAGTGCGGAAAAGTTCATTTTACGGATGTAAGAATTCATTTGTCTTACAGTAAGACATTTTATTTTGAGAGCCATAGTTCGTCCCCTATAAAAAAGCAAAAAAAAAAACTGATAGAGAACGCATTTTATTCTTTTATAAATTAATTGTGTTTTATTCAAGGGTTATGTTATCGAAATAATGATATTTGAGAAAGAAATATTTCAAAATTTCGGATTGTAGAAGTTTTACCAACCACGCTTTGGCTGATTTGAATGTTTCATATTTTCGTGTTTAACCTTGTGAAGGTATTTTCTGAATGAGCTGGTTACTACAGTCCCCGTGTTTTTGATTCACCCATGTCCCAATGGCCGGTATTAGATTATGCGTCCATCGGCTTTTTGTTGTAGTCTCCCATCGAGTCTGCCATTTGCCCATCGATGTTGCTCTTTCATCTTTTTTAATGCGTTTATATTCGCATTTGTCTGGGGTTCTGTTGTAGATCCTCCACATTTCGTCAGCAAGAATATCCACTGGCATCATCCCGGCTATGACTAATGCCGCGTCGTCTGATATCGTCCTGAAGCCACTTATTGTTCTCAGTGCGCTGAGTCTGTATGTGGTTGCAAGATTTCTCCTTATTGCTTTAGTCATCAGTGCTACTGCCCAAACTGGAGCGGTATAGAGCAGTATCGAGCTAACTACTCTTGAGAGTAAGATTCTCCTACCGTATATGGGACCTCCAGTATGTTTGGTAGTATCCTAGATAGCGCTGCTTGCGTTGATGCTGCCTCAATCTTTATGTAGTAAACGTGAGACTTGAACTGGAGTCTGTTGTCGATCATCTAAATATTTGATCGAGTCTTTCGAGCTAATTATTTGGTTGCCGACTTTTATTTTCATATACTCCAGTGATTTACGACCCGTGATTGGGACTGCTTCCATTTTATGCTCTGCCTTATCTTGCGAAATTGCTTCGTTCGCGACTGCTTCGATTTCTTCTAATTTTTTCGCTACAATGGCGATATCGTAAGCCTGTCAGATTTTTTTTATGTCAATCCGGTCCGGATTATCCGGGTGAGTTTCCTCTAAGTCCGAGCGAAATCCGGGCGAATCCCTGCAAAATTGATTTTTTCAACCAAAACAAAAATATTGGCAACGTGAAATCTTTGAAATATATTTCGATTTCCACAAAAATGTCTTGATTTTCAATGTACTGTTTTTTGTCTAAGTCCAATAAATGATATTTCTATTGTTTTTGATAAGGTGGATTTGTCAATATCAAAAATACAAAAAAATCAACACATTTGAAGAGAAAAAAAATCCAAAATTATTGGAGTTATTTGTTGAAACATCGTCGAAAACAGTAAGAAATCTGAGCGAAATCCGGAGTTATTCCGCCATATCCGGGCATCCGGGCCGGGTGATTTTTTGTCTGGGTTTGGCCTCGAAAATCCGGGCGAACCCGGATTTATCCGGACGATCTGGCAGGCTTACGATATTATCAGCGAAACCAACGATTTTCACTACTGGCGGCAGTGGCAATCTAAGAACACCGTCGTACATGATGTTCCACTTGCGGCACTCCGGCTGAAACACCATAGTATTTCACTCCATCTTTTATTGGATTATTGGATTATTGGATTAAAACGGGGAGTGTCCTATTTAAACAGTAAGTTTTAATATAGTTACTCGTTGCTCAAGTTTCATAACTTATTGCAAGACGCCCGTGTGTATTGAATACACGAGAATAGTCTTTTATCCAAAAATGTTTCTAAGGCATGGATTGTCATCGCATGCCCGTTTGAAAAACGTTACCAATTTGAATACACTCGGTGCATGAATCAAAGGGTAGGATCTCCAGCCCGTGAAGTCAGCCCGTATGGTATCCAACATTGGACATCTATCTATGAGGTGGGCAGTGGTTTCCCCTTCTCCACCACACAGTCTACAGTCCGGGTCGTCTCTGAGATTTAGATTTCTCATATGAGAATTGACCCTGGCGTGCCCGGTAAGTAAACCAATTACCATCCGGAGTTCTTCCTTGGGCAATTTGGCTAATTCCACCGTGAGTTTTGAACATGTGAATTGAACGAAGTGTTTCGTTTGCTCACATGAGAACGTACCCTGCCAATTTAGGCGGGATCTGTTGCTGAGCCAAGTAGCTAATCGGTTCTTGACTCGTGAATATTCAATTGGTATGTATGGTTCTGGACCCTCTATTGCATCGTGTGCAGCCAATTTTGCCGCCCCGTCTGCCAGGTCATGCCCCCGAATACCAGTATGAGATTTGATCCAAACCACCCTAAGGTTGTTCGTTTCAGAAATGCGCTGGAGTGCCTCGTAACAGTTCATAGCCAAGCCATTTTGCATCTTAATATTCTTAAGATCAGTTATGGCTCCCAAACTATCTGTGAAGATAGCTATATTTCCCCGTACTGGGTCCCCCAGTATTTTGTATGCACAATGAATAATTCCAGATATTTCCGCCTGTTTGACTGTTGTTGTTTGTCCCAGGGGAAATGAATAGGTGAGGTTCTCTGCTTCACAGTAGAAGCCGCATCCACTACCTGTTTCTCTGACTGAACCATCAGTGAAAAAGGAGTTTTGTGCCCATTGTTTTTGCTGGAAGAATTCATTGAGACTTTTTGTTATAATAATCTCGAAACTCCTATCGAAATTGTAGGAGGTCGTGATTAGTTTGTCAGAAGGAGCCCCCAAAATCTTGTCAATATTGAAAAGATTTGTTAGGGCATCATCATGCAAATTTCTAGGACTTGTCCTAGTCTTTATTTCCATTCTCAATCTATAGGCCGTTTTCATTGCTTCAGACTCTATGAAGTCTTCCAGCCTTGGTAGACCCAAGAGAACGTCAAGAGAAGCTTGGGGGGTTGTTTTCATAGCCCCCGTGACACACAAGCTTGCTACTCGCTGTAGGTGGTTTAGCTTTTTTCTGGCACTAGCAGTCGCGGTGCCAGTCCACCAGATAAAAGATCCATATGCGAGCATGGGCTTGACAACAGCTGTGTATAGCCAAAGGAGGCTCTTAGGGGATAGACCCCAAACTTTACCAATGGCAGACCTACAGCACCAAAAGACTTTCAGGCATTTCTTGACTCTGTACTCAATGTGGCTTCGCCATGTAAGTTTTGAGTCAAGCATAACACCCAAGTACTTTACATGATCTCTTTTTTCGATCCTTGAACCGAACAGAGTTGGGTTCCTAAAACCGTGGAGGTTTCTGTTCTTTGTGAAGATCATGAGTTCTGATTTTGCCGGGTTTACCCTGAGTCCCACCTCCAGACACCATTGTTCGACCAGCTTAACTGCTGACTGGGTTCTGTCTGATAGAGTTCTCAGGAATTTTCCCCTACAAATTATGCTGAGATCATCCGCATACCCAATCGCCTGGTAGCCATTTTCGTGAAGTCTCTTTAGGAGTCCATTCACTACTAATAGCCAAAGGAGAGGTGACAGTACTCCGCCTTGGGGAGTCCCCCTCGTTGCATGCACTATCACCTCATCCCCTCGATTCCGAAAGGTTATGGTTCTGTTCATTAGCATCGAATTAATCCATTTTTGGATCATTTGGTTTGCACCAATTTCTCTTACACTTTTATTTATGGCTTCAAAGGATACATTATCGAATGCTCCTTCAATATCCATAAACGTAGTGACCATGAATTCCTTGTCCAAGAGTGTTTTCTCGGCCATGGATACAATTTTGTGGAGAGCCGTTTCGGTTGATTTACCCTGCTGGAAGGCGTGCTGACTACCATGCAGGTCACCCGAAGCCTCCAATATTTCCCTTAGATACCTTTCGATCAGCCGTTCTAATCCCTTTAAAAGGAAAGAGGAAAGACTGATTGGTCTAAAGGATTTCGGCGACGTATAGTCATCTTTTCCTATTTTTGGAATAAAAGTTACTTTTACATTTTGCCATGAGCTGGGGACATATCCCAGAAGTATCGAGGACTTGTATATGGATACAATTATATCTCCGATAATATCCCATGTTTTTTGTAAAAGCACTGGGTATATCTCGTCTAGGCCTGGCGATTTGAATGGGCCAAAAGATGAGATGGCCCATTCCACCCTCCTGGGAGATACGAGATTTTCGATGAAGGCGTCAACATATGCGTTTTGGACTGGCTCCAAGATTTCTTGGGCTGGCAACGCATGTGTTACATTTTCAGGGAAGTGCGTATCAAGTAGGAGCTTTGCAGTCTCTTCATCAGATTCCGTGTAGCTTCCATCTTGTTTCACAAGTATTCCTGGACCCTGGGCGGGGTCCTTAGCCAGAATTTTGTGTACTCTTGAGGTGCTTTTAGCCCCCTCAATTCTGCTAAAGAATCTCTTTTCAGAGTTCTTTTTAACAACAAGAATTTCACTGGTGTACTTGTTCCTACTCCTTCGCCATATTTCATGGCAGAGTGGGCCTTGAGGTGTATCCTTTCTTGCTAAATATATTCTAAGTAGTCTTCTGGATTCCTTTCTTAGCCTTTTTAGGTCCGTATTCCACCAATAATTGTTCTTTATCTTAATTTCACGCTCAGGGCATGAAATATGGTACGAAGTCTTCAAAAGATCTGTCAGACTTTCAGTTGCTTGGTCTAAACGATCCCTTGTAGAGATGTCCATACACAGTCCTCTGAGTGCTGTAGACCCTTTTCTTACTTCGTTTCTAAGTAACTCCCAGTTTGTATTTCTAGGGTTTCTGAATTTATTCTGTGCTCGGCGAGCACATAATAGTTGGAAGCGAATCTCTCTGTGGTCAGAGAGTCTATCTTCCTTTGTAACATGCCAATTCTTCACGAAATGCGAGAAATTAGCAGATATCAAAGTTATGTCTAAGACTTCCGACCTGTTTCTGGTAACAAACGTTGGTTGTACACCTCTGTTTAAGATGAGCAGGTCAGTCGTTGCAATATATTCGAGAAGTAACTCACCTCTACGGTTTGTGTCACTACTTCCCCAGACCGTGTGATGCGCATTTGCATCACCCCCCAATATTATTGGAAGTGATCGGTTAGTAGAATA